CCCCAAAACCCCAAAACCCCAAAACCCCTAATTACCAAAAGTGGTTGACAATATCTTAAACCGATTTATTAATAAAATGGGCTAATGGGAATAAGCAAACATCTATTAAACTCTCGATATAAACTTATGAGCATCGAAACACCCCTCGTTGGTGAAGTAGTCCATAATCATGTCTTGCAGAGTGGAGCTATCGTAGTTGAAGTTGGTTTTCCCTCTCATTCCGTTGATTCCGATCGAATACAAGTCGTGCATAACAGCAGCTTCCTTCTCACATTTGAAGGTTCCGATGTATTTCTTCTTGCTGCGGACGTTAATAAGGACCTGCCAGCGCTTTCCATTGCCGAGCAATCCGATGTACCTCGATCTTCTTCTAGAAGCGCCATTGTGAAGACCTCTAGAGCTTTTTGAAGTTGCTCTGAAGCTCACTTCTTGATTACTCCCAATTATTTGAAGAACCATACGAAGGTTTTGGGAGATGTCAGGTAGAGCACTCACTGTGGCTTTCTTCGTGATAATCTTTGCTGGCAATTCCTTCTTTTGCTCACAAAGCAAACTAGAGTGTTTTGCCAAGCTTTGATTGAATGGCATGCTTCTTTGAGGCATGAGAGTGGGACTTGGTGATGTTGACACATCTAATCCCCAACAATACTTGTCATAGATTCCTCCAAGAGTTCTCTCTAAGGCATGATAACATGTCTATACAACATTAGGTTCAGACAAAGTTTGTGGTCGCTGGTCTTACCATTGGCAAAGTTTGGACTTTTAAGATATTCGTTGAGTTTATCTGAAACATATTTGTTATTAAATTTACTAAAAATTAGTAGCTTTATATATTATCTAAAACCTCACATTCCCAATTGGAAGATACGAGAATTGGAAGATACGGAGATTAGGCAGGACTTTATCCGTCTTAAGTCATCTCGTCTAAGCAAGAGTCATCATCAAAATTCAGATGTTATTTTTATGGATCAGCCATTTCTCATTCCTTCATTAGGCAACCAACTTTAGCTTGTTGATATTATGAGACATAACTAGGTAGATGTGATCTTTGAAGGTAGGATAAGAGCCCCAGATCTTTTCCTTCCACTCCTAATTAACTCGCCTCAAGTTTCTGCAATTTAAGGTCTACATTTTTGGCAATCCCTTTAATTTTAAGGTCACCCAGCGTGTTTGAAAGGTTGATTTCAGAAGTATGAAAAGGAGGGGATTACCTTTCTAACATCTAGCATATGTACGGAATATTCCCTGGAAGCGATTTTACTGAGCTCTAAACTGAAGAATAACCCTCACGATCCTTCCTATAGCTCATGCTTTGGAATGGACTCTTGGAGGAGAAGTCAACGATGCCGGTTACTTGCAAGAAATTTGTCCAAAAAAGTTGACATTTTGGGAATAATAGTCAATATTTTTTGCAAAGAGAAATTAGAATCGTTTTAATGTGGTTTATCTTCAGTTCGAAGGACCAGAACAACGCTGAGGCTTTGAGACCAACCTTTAGGAAGGATAAAAATATTCTGATTAGTTTATAAACACTTTTGTAAAACTCGAGCAAATTGTTGGGATCGTTTGGAATTATTCGTTAGATTTTCCTACTCATGCTCAATCATTAAAATATAGAGTTTGGGAAATTAAACATTGCTATTTTAAGCATATATGTGTATATTAGCTTGAAGGGTACATTGGAAGTCACTATTTGATGTATGAAGCCTTCAAACTGCAAGATCTAGCAAGAAGTTTAAGCACTTCATTGGCTCTTTAGCATTTTTCCAATTTTAATATTGATATCCTCTAATGTCAAAAATAGTTGTCCAGATATGACTTACCTTTGTTTTTGGCTCTAAAAGCTTCAGTCATCAATTACCCAACAAACATGTTGATGGAAATAATAAAAAGAAGATTTTTAGAAGGTTCTAAAATTTAATAACTATATGCTTAATATGCTCTTGCAAAGACTTAAAATGCTAACATTTGTCGAGTTATTTGTAATTCAGCAAAACATTCTTTTTCATCGAGGTTGACCTCTTGAGCAAAAGGAAGACTCCCTTGAGCTCTTCGAGCCGTTATACTCTGAGTAATAGTGAAAGTTCATAATTGTTCTTAATTAGGTAATTGGTTGGGGGGACTTTAGTAATAATTACCAGGGAAACGTCAACCATAATGCTGACAAATATGGGGTTGCTTCTGTAAAATGATACCTTAGCTTCGCCTAACTTTTATGATTAGCCTCGTTGTTATTCCCTATCGCATCTTGGGAGCTGAAGTAAGATCTTTGCCCATATAAGAAAATAAGAGTGCTGTTAAAAATAAGGTGATGCTCGAGACTCATTTGACTGGAGTGAACCTCATATTTATTAGCTATATGGTAGACTAACCCAGTGAATTATTATGGAAGCCTAGCTCATCTCTCATCTGTTTAAAAAATTCAAAAATAGGTTGATATGGGGCGAACGATTCCTAATTTTTTCTTGAGAATTTCCAGGTTTATGTTCAGACTAGCTATAATTAATTCAAGCGTGTTTGAATAGTTTGAATTTATTTTTCTTTCATTGGAAATCCAAAGGGAAGAAGTTGTCATGCATACTCATTTCTTGAGTTATAATATCCTATCAACCAAGACCGATGACATGCCTGAACTTTTAACAAATTTGGAAAACTTTTATGGAAAATAATATGGTTTATGGCTGAAGAGGGTTCAAGACTAGCTTCCGGTGATTGATAGGTTTAAGAGCAGCATAGATTAAAAAGTATTTGAGAGTGTACAATAAAGTTTATTCATATGGAAGCCCTTTTGGATAATTTGGGACTTCAGGTTTTATAAAGTAGGTATATCTGCTAAATGAGTTGACCATATAAGTAGGTTTTATTGAATCTATTGACTTGGCCAATATTATACAAATTTATGCCAAAAGAATCTCTTGACAAGTTTAATAAAGACCATTCCAAGAGATCAAATCCGTCAATCTCCCCTTCCCCATACCTTTACCAGGCTATTGGCCATATAACAAAGCCTATAAGCCCCTTTTCTTCTCTCTAAATTTTTGATCCTTTAGACCCCTATTATTGATCAATTCACCACGTTGGTAAATACTACTTCAATAGACTTTTTATCCTTCGGGGTTTTGGGGTTTTGGGGTTTTGGGGTTTTGGGG